TTCATCATTTCCCATTTGTAAGCCGCTGGAATCTCTCTTATGTGCTCCTCCAAACCACCCTCTCTTCTCGTTGAGAATCTCGGCGAGACAGCAAAATCATACAGAATTCGAAATACCTCAGAGTTCTTACTTCGGGCGGCGGCGTAGAGAATATCAGTGACCCCATATTCCCCTTCTCCGAAAACAAGCAAAGGATTTCTGGCGAGAAGTTCTTGAACGAACGCCAAATCGCCAGCGGAAGCGGCAGTGTAAATCAGCCATCCGCCGTAACCAGCCCGGATTAAAGAGTTTTTCCCCTGTTTCGATTCAGACTCCATTAGTAGTTTTCGAGAAACATCAGAGCGGCATTTTGCGACATCGTGAAACTGTTCTTCGTCGTCCCAAACCATCTCGAGACGACGAATCCGGCGGAGAGACGTAAGTTTGATGAGATGGTTACCGTCGATTCGAAGAAGCTGCCGAACCAAATCGTAGTGGCCATTAGCAGCAGCCCAATCGATCGGAGAAGCGTACCACCAGTGGTCGCCGGTGCTCTCCCAACGGAGAGGGAAATACGTGGGAGGCATGAAGAAGCAAATAAACAGAAAAGGCAAAAGAAGCGAGAATTTGGAAATCGTAGTGAATAAAAACAAAATTACGATTAAATTATGAAGCAATCAGCAAAAGAGAAAGAGGAAAGAGGAAAGAGGATAAAGAGTTGAGGAAGGTGAAGGAGAAGGCATGGGAGAAGGAAAGGGAGAAAGGGAGTGAAGCAGCCATTATTGGGAACAGGAAAAGCTCTGAATTCAGGAAAAAGGAATCAGTCCTTGTTCTGTTGGAGGAGAAAGAATTGACATTAAGGTCGTCAGAGTTGTGGAAGAATCAAAACGAAGCATCGGTTCCTTCTTGTTTAACTGATTTTTGGAGGTTTCCATGGCGGAGAATAACGCTCAATTTTTAACTCAAAAAGGAATTCCATGGCCGACTAAATCAACCAGACAATTTTAAGCTGATTTTCAATTATATATATATATATATATATATTTGGTTCTTAGTTGAAGCCGACGCATTTTAAAATATTTAATTTGTTGAATAAATTTCAGGATAAGCTGTGATGTTAGCAGACTAAATTTTCCTCTCCCCATAATTAAGAGAATTGAAATATATAATTATTAAGAAGAAAATTGAGAACCAACCAAGAACGGATGAAGATAATTAGGTTTTGTACAAACACTAGAAGAAGACAGCCACATAAATCCAATCCCCACTCTCTTCTATTCTCATTTGTTGTTTTGTTTTTTTCTTCTCACCATTTAATTTTATTTTCCATATTCATAATTTTTTTTTTTTTTTTGAAACGGTGTTCATTCATTAAAATCTTTAATATGATGAATATTTTGGATAGGATAAGATATGGAGCATTTAACGAAGATATTGAGAGTATAAAAGAGTGATCATATATAATTCAATTAGCTAAAGATACGTAACTACGATCATATCAAAAGTGTACGGAAAAACTCAAAAGAATGGGACATGTTAGCAAGCAGCTTTGTAAGTTAGAAAGCACTGACCTTTTTAATCAAACCCAATGGCCTCACCACCTGCCTACTTGCCTCCTTGTTTCCTTGCTTCCTTTAAAACCAATAATGCAACACCACCATCTCTCTTTATTTGCTTTCATAATTTAATTGCCCAATTCAAGTTGTGCCTCTAAATTTAGAAACTAATTCATTATTTAACTTTTTTTAGTATTGTTTTGTAATTAGTTTCTTAATAATGAAAAGAAACATAAGTATGGAATATTTTCACAACTCTCCATATAATCACTAATAATTAATGTCAAATTTTTTATTATTAATACCTATCATATCAACTAATTAATTTATAGAAATTATTGAAATAAATCTCTAAAGTATCGAGAGTTAAATTTGACTTCGACTCAAAAAAATAAAACTTGATCCATGCTTGTATGGCATATAACGTGATGGACACGTGCATTTTAAAACCAAACATAGAATGACACCTCAAGTACATTTTAAAATAACTATAGTTCAACCCCACTATTAAATTTAATAAAATATCTTTTTTTTTTTTGGTCTTCTATTTCTAAATGATAAAACTGCATACTAATCATTCTTTAATTTTGTCTTCTACTTGGAATTAGTCAATGTCTATTGAATTTTCTAGAATTAAAAATGGTCTTTAAATTATAGATTATAAAATAAAGAAATAGTAATTGAGAATGAGTTTCTATACTAAGTCAAAGTTCGAATCTTCCAAATGAAAAAGGAGGTGTTAGCATAGTGGTGGAAGGCAAAAAGGACCAACTTTAGAACCAATTGGTAGCATTGTGTTTGTATTGGGTATCAAATAATTGCAACTCATGATCTTTCCCTTCCTTGTTGCTGAAGTCAAACAGATAAAGATGCCAAGAAACATCAACTCAAATCCAACACCAAAACATTCATAAATAAATATCCAAATCCCTTTTCTCCCCCTTGTCATGGAATAGCACCAAATGCAACAAACTGATGAGATATGAATATATCATCAACATATATGGATGATGAATCCAAGAGGAAAGTGATATTCTATCAAATTTTGAGGCATATTAACAGAGCTATAAGGCACGAGAGGTATATTAACAGTTACAAGGCATGAGTATATTATTCTATCAAGTACATCGGTGGCATGCTATCAGACATGAGGGTATCATTCTATCAAAATTTCATGTACATCATTAGTCACCTGATCGCTCTAAAATCCCCACTCGATTTTTTTACTGCCAAGTATTGATCTGCAGCTACTAACCATTTGAACTTCACAGTTCACTTTTGACAAATATGTTCTAATTCCTCCCTAAACCATCCCAGAAATGTGACCATTTTCTGCCCATGAATAGTGTTAGGTAGTACGTGTGCTAGGGACTGAAACTTGAGTGTTCATTTACAACACAAATACAGTGCATCCTAGTTATTTTGTAGGCTCTATCAACTGATAGCTATTTGATGAACTATAAAATGGCAAGCAGCTGCTTAACAATAAACTAGAATAAGAACAGAGACAGTCAGAGAAAAAAAAAGCAGGGACTTTCACTGATTCAATTTGCAACATAACTAAGATGTCATTTCATGGACGTACAAGCTAAACTCTCCATATTTCACTATTTTTTTTTGCAAATTTTTGCCGTTGTGATTCCATACATGAGTTATTCACTAGATCAGTCCCACCTACAATGAAACCTCATTTTGACAGATCCAGAGAACAGTGGCAACATTGAATTGTAAAATTAAAAGAATGCCGAGTGACAAGTTCAACCATAGTTTCAAGAAGTGAAAACCATTCCATTCTAGAACAAAGCAACAACAGAAACATCGATTTATGACAACAACAAAAAAAAAAGGTCAGGGAAGTTCATTACCAATTCGTTCAACGAGACGGGTTCAGAGCCAACATCATGTTCTGACCACCGGGCAGGTATGCCACATTTGGCGACTTGGCGAGGGTGGATGCGATCTCCCTTGATGCTTCAATTCTCCTGAGCTCAATCAAACCCATACCAGCGGCCGACGTAGCATCAGAAATCAACTTAGCTGACTCGCTCTCACCCTCAGCCCTGATAATCGCGGCCCTTCTTTCCTGTTCGGCTTTCGCTACAACAAATTTTGACCGCTCAGCCTCTTGCTGCGCTACCTGCTTTTGCTCCACCGCCTTAGAGAACTCCGGGCTATAGGACAGATGAGTGATGGCAACGTCATCCAGCACAATGTTGAAGTCCTTAGCCCGTCGAATCAAGCTCTCACGCACAAGAGCAGAAACGTGAGGCCGCTCCGTCAAAAGCTGATCGGCGTTGAATTGAGCGACGACGGCCTTCAGAACCTCATTTCCAATAGAAGGGAGGACCTTCTCGTCGTACTCTAGACCTAGGGTTTTGAAAATATCGGGAAGGCGAGAAATCTCAGGGCGAGAGAGAACACGTAGGGTCAGATTTACCATCTGAAGATCCTTGGTACCGGAAATAGACGAGAAAGTGTGAGGTCTGGTACGAATATCAAATACAAAGGGCTTTTGCAGCCATGGAATCAAGAAGTGTGTTCCTTCACCGACAGTGTCGTCGATTACACCCCGGAAGCGATCAAAGAGGACTGCCCTTTCACCACCGTCGACGGTGTAAAGCGAGGCACTGAGAGCCGATGCAGCAGCGCCTAGACCGAAAGCAGCACGAGCAACATTGGTGAGAAAAGACACGGCGGCTTGGCTGCTACCCATTGTGAAGAAATGGAAAGCTGAGAGGTGCAGAGAGAAATGGGTTGAACTTCAAGATAGAGGTTTAGGGTTTATGAATTGGGGAGGAAAACTCATTTCTGCGCTGGACTTGACCAATATGGACGGGCTTGATGTTATGGTAGGCCCATATTGTTAAGTGTACATCCAATAAAAGATTAAATTAAATTTAATAAATAAAAAATCATCTTAAAAACAAGCACTTGTCACTAACCACTTATAAAATCAAACACAACGAACCAAAGTAAATGGGAACAAAAATAGAAGAAACTATATAATTGACACATTTAGAGCTTCTTTTTTGAACTCGAACCAAACCAGACCAAAAAGGGACCGAAGATCACAACAGCCGAGCACACATGGACTTGTGGCCAACCAAACCTAGTCTCAACCAACAAGGTCGAGTAGGGTCAACCTCAGCGTCTTGTCAAGGGTAAGATCTTTCTTGTTTTGTGCTTCAATACTGTTGTGTTAGCCCAGTTTTGTTCCAAGTAAGTGTTTCCGTGGCTTATCGTTTTGGTTCAAATTTATCCACTTTTTGCTTACTTCGGTTGTGGTTTGTGGGTTGAGTAATCTATGGCCCTAGTGGGCTATTGTTATCATTGTTGTGTGCTCGTGAGAATAGGGAGCTGCATTGGCATTACTGTCGTCTCCCAATCAGATTAAATATGAGATACTACAACACGCCAGCAAATTATGAAAGCAATTAACCTAACTACAAAGACACCAGTTTGATAGGTAAGAAAAAAAGTACCAACTTATCATTTCAAAGGAAAAAAGAAGAGGGTTTCAAATTCTTCCCCGAAATAAGATGGGAGGGTACAAAACACAAAGTTCCAATTCCCTCAGTTATTCAAACTCGAACGCTAAAATTAAAATTCCTCCCCTGTTCTGAATGACAGGGCCTAACAACTGAGAAAATCCAAAAATCCAAACGCTCCAACGCAGCATCTTTAGAGAAACTCCTTACTTCTGAGAGCTAATGTGACGGATCAGGTCAACAACACGTGAACTGCATACGAAAGAAACACAGCGAACTCGTCATTTGTTCTGCAAATTCACCAGTCGACACACAAAGCAAAGAATCAGAGGTTTCTTACCTGTATCCCCATTCGTTATCATACCAAGTGACGAGTTTCACAAAGTTGTCGTTCAAAGCAATGCCAGCCTTGGCATCAAAAATGCTTGACCTGTGATACAACAATAGCAAATGATAAAAACGAAGTTCATATCTGCGTAAGCACGATCATACATTTTTGTTTATTCTACTGACCTGCTGTCACCAACAAAGTCTGTTGAAACAACATCATCTTCTGTGTACCCAAGAATTCCCTTCAGCTTGCCCTCGGATTCTTCCCTGATAAACAAATGAAAAAAAGAAAAAAATCCCTTTAACATGAAGCAGACATTCTTCTTCATCGGAATCTCCAAGTACAATGTGAAAACCTTGCATTCTATGGACATTCATGTTTGTTTGGACTATCTTTTAGGTTACTAGGGCATGGTTACAGATTCGCTGATTCTTACTTGATGGCAGCCTTGATCTCATCGTAAGTGGCCTTCTTCTCAAGCCTAACAGTAAGGTCGACAACTGAGACATCAACAGTGGGAACACGGAAAGCCATTCCTGTCAACTTTCCATTTAGAGCGGGCAGCACTTTACCAACGGCCTACACATTTGAATAAAAACCAATGATATTAGTCGAGTTATTGAATACATGAAAAAACACATCAGAATTAGTATATAATCAATGTTATCGTAACAACCCAAAGCCCATTAGTCATGACATCATTTGTTATTCTAATTAAATAGCAAGTGTATGTGTAAATCCAGAAAAAAAAATACCTTAGCTGCACCAGTGCTGCTGGGAATAATGTTGAAGGAAGCGGCTCTTCCACCTCTCCAGTCCTTCATTGATGGTCCATCAACAGTCTTCTGGGTTGCTGCATGGGTGAAACGATAAGCAACTGCTGAACAACACAGCTTTACATTTAATAAGGATGTTTGGTACAGGATAGGACATACCAGTGATGGAATGGACAGTCGTCATGAGACCCTCAACAATACCGAATCTATCATTGATCACCTAATACGGGAAGCTAGATTAACTTCTGCAAATGTCACATTCTAATTTCCTTCTAAATGAATTAGACAGACTTTATCTAAGGAAAATAAACTACCTTCGCCAATGGAGCAAGACAGTTGGTAGTACAGCTGGCATTGGACACAATGTCGAGCTCTGGCTTGTACTCCTTCTCATTAACACCAACAACAAACATTGGGGCGTCCTTGCTTGGTGCAGAGATGATAACCTTCTTTGCACCACCCTGTAAAAAGATCAGAGAACCTATTTAGGTTACAACTAACCAAAGGAAAGCAAGTGAATTCAATTTCATAAAACTAGATAATAATTTAGCGTCCCTTCTGAAAATAATGTATTAATGATAGAAGATAGACTAAATATCAAGTGGCTTTGGATTTCTGCAAACTATATGCGATGAAGTCAAAACGTTAATTTAAAGGAAAATTCATTGAAAAGGCCATGGAAAGAAAAGGATCGTTCCAAAAACCATATTAGAGTTCTATTTAGCTCTTCCTAATGACAATAATAATATCCAATCAAGAATGTCCAAAATAAGTAGAGCTTACATCAACCAATATTAAAGAAAACATTATAATGACATAAATAATCATGAATATGTGTCTATTGGATATTTGTAACAAACCTTCAAATGAGCAGCAGCCTTGTCCTTGTCAGTGAAAACTCCAGTGGATTCAACAACATATTCAGCTTCAACCTTCCCCCATGGGATCTCCTCCGGGTTCCTAATGAATGAGCAAGTCAAATGATAAACTCAATTGTTCGATAGAAATGATATCGTCAAAGAAATTTCTTTTTCAAAGACGAAGGAGCATGAAAATACCTAGTACCGAAAACGGTGACCGCTTTCTCCCCAAAGAGAAGAGTATTGCTGTCTTTAACCTTGATATCATGGTGCTTCCACTGGCCGTGTACACTATCATACTTGAACATGTAGGTCTGTCGTAGACAACGGTAAAATTACATTTCGAAGACCATAAAGGCCCAACATTCTCAAACCCGCAACAATAAGTCGATCTAAATGATAAGAGAGCTAAATGAAACCAACACTCTCAAACCCGCGACAAGAAGTCGATCTAAATGATAAGAAAGCTAAATGAAACCAGCATTCTCAAACCCGCAACAATAAGTCGATCTAAATGATAAGAAAGCTAAAGACAAAAGAAACGGAACCAAAACATCTACATCAACTAGAGACATTTTGTAAATCCGACGTCAAGAACTAACGAAAATGACTAATTACATCAGATCTAAATTATAAAAACATATACAGAGATGTAGAAGAACATATACATATACATATACATATACATCAGAAGATCCGTATGTACATCAGAAGATCCATAAGTTTACCATGTAATCAGTGGTAATGAACGGATCATTAACAGCAACGAGTTCGATATCGTCACTCTGCAAGGCAACTCTAGCAACAAGACGACCGATTCTTCCAAATCCTTTGATTATAAGGAAACAGCAGTAAATATTAGATCGAGATCCAGAAAACTCAGAATCGGAAACCAAGAAAAAAAAAACATAAAATAGAATTAGAAATGAATACCATTGATTCCAATCTTAACTTTTCCCATGATTCAGACTGGCGACGGAGAAAAAAACAGATCAAAAAGTAAAGGAGATCGGAGAATGCAAAAGGCTGAAAGAGAAGTGTATGAGTTAAGTGTAAGGACGAAAGGTTGTTTATATAGGGAGTGAAACAAAAAAAGAAAATGGAAAAATGGAAATGGGGGCGGATTTCTCGATGAATTGGTGGTGGTCATTTATATATATATATATAATTTTAAGTTTTTATTACTAATATTTTTTTTAAATTTAAATACTATTTTAGGTGCTTAAAATTTTAATCAATTTACTTTTAAAATATGTTTATTTTAATTTGCTACTAAAAGTTACGCTTTTTTTTATTATTTTATTTTTATGAATGAGTAACTTTATTTTCGGTTGAAATAAAATTCCAAATTTTTTTATACATTTTAATTAAAAAAATTAAATTAAAAAAGAATTATGGAAACTTGGCAATCAAGTCTTTTAAAATAAGAAAGCGAGAACCAAAAGATAAGACTAATAGATATTATCTTCTTTAGATTTTTAAAACAGTCTCCTCTCGAGGCTTTTAAAATGTTTTCCAAACATTTGTAAGAAATTACCTCTTTGGTTCCCAACGTCCTTACTGACACTCGTTCCTTCTCTAATCGATGTGGGACCCCCTATTCCACCCCTCCTGATCCCAACATCCTAGCTTCTCTAATTGATGTGGGACCCTCTATTCCACCTCTCCTCAAATCCCAACATCTTGTTAGCACACTGCCTCATGTCCATTCCCTTGAGAGCCCAATCTGACCCCCTTGAGAGCCCAGTCTCCGCACTGACAAATCACTTAATGTCGGGCTCTAATACCATTTGTAGCAACCCAAACCCACCACTAGCAAATTGTTCTTTTTAGGTTTTCCCCTCAAGGTTTATAAAACACATCTACTTGAAAAAGGTTTTCCCACCCTCATAAGAAATATTTCGTTCCCCTCTCCAACGGACGTAGAATCTCACAAAAAACAACTTAAATCTTCATTAGATTGATCCACACAAATATCTCGTAAGATTTAAAATATTTGTTTGTCTATATGAAACATTTGCAACATAAAAGCATAGAACCAAGAAAAGAAAAGAAAATGAAGGTTGAAGAGAATCTATGATCACCATTAAACATAAAAATAAGAGGGTACTAACAAGTTCAAACACAACGAACACAAAATCTAGTTTACTCATGAGCAGTTTTCACCACGCAGCAGCAGCAGCAGTCTTTACATTTTCAGCCACTTGGGTTTGACAACTTTCTTATTAGTAGGCTTGGTTTCCTTGACAACAGGGTCAGACACAGGGGGAGGGGGTGCTGTTTCAGGCTCCGCAACAGCCAATACAGGCTCGTCTTCTTCGCTCGCGATTTCGATACCTTTCAAAGACATGGCCTCCTCATTAAGGTAAGCCACCCAACCAACTGCCTCGCCTGTGTTCAACACAATAATTCTGAGAACCAGTTGCATTGCATCACAGTTCAAAGCAATCTCAAGTACAAGATATTAGAACCAGAAATGCACATTTGACCTCATCATGATATCATTTCCGTATATAAAGAGTGGAGATAAGAAGACACTTGTCTGAAATCATAAGCTAAAAAGAAAATAAATGCATGATATGGATATCAACATTAGATCTCCATCATATAAGAAGCTCTATAAACGCATATGTATATATCTAAGAAACTCTATATAGCAGGATGTCGCATATAGAAAACATGAAACAAATGAAGAATAAGTTAATACATATTCAAACTTAATTTGGAACAGGAAAATGAATTACATAGAACGTTTTCGTTCAAAAGTTTAGAACAATCCACTGGCCGTTTTCTCACATCCAGTAAAATGTGAGGGAAGATTCCTATCGAACTGTATATAGTACAAGAAATAGACAGGCCAAGAATTAGAATTCAATAATCCAAGATGATATTGGATACCACAGTCGGACCAAACAATGTTGAATACCATATGTATAAGTAAATCCAATTTTGAAAACTAAAGCGCATACAGTACTTAGTCAAGCCACAAAAACTTCAAATAAGCATGGTGAATTTTGTATTCCAAACCTTCAGGTTGATCGTACGAAAAGTAAACAATTGCACCAGGAACAAAGCCAGCAGAATAAAAATCCTGTGTCAAATCTTTTATCTGTTTCTTGGGAGGCGCGGTATCTGCAATGTTGGGTAATGATGAATCAACTCTTAAGAACTCTTCAAAGAAACAACAGGAAATAGGTGAATATCAGATTGATCTGAGTTCTTTAGACATACAAATATAAAATGGTAGTTCTGGTTGAGCAACTACTTTGCTAAGAAGATCAACCAAGGCCTGCATTGTTTCGGATGGATGGAAAGTTGCCTCTAATGTGTGATTGTCAGGAAAGCGAACCCGTACACTAACCTGCAGCACGATGGTCAGGTTAGAAGTTGTAATCTGCTAAGCATACCAATGCTGTAAGAAAAAACAACAGGTTATCGAGGAGAAGTTTAGCTATAAAGTCTTGGTAGCACCTTTGTTATCCTTGACTTGCGAGCTGCCTCTTCTGCCTCTCTGATTTTCCTTGTTTTTAAATATTTCTCTGCCGGGATGGAAACATAGTGCATTACTATTTCTATGAAGGTATATGTGTTAGCAGAAACAATGTGTCACCTACATACATATATACATACATACATGTGTGTGTGCACATGCATGAAACTCCTAAAGGATGCCAACTTGTCAAGTATCCATACTCATTGTAATAGCCCAAGCCCACCACTAGTAGATATTATTCTCTTTGGGGTTTCCCTTCAAGGGCTTCCACTCAAGGTTTTAAAACACGTCTACTAGGAAGAGGTTTCCACACCCTTATAAGGAATGTTTCATTCCTCTCTCCAACCGATGTGAGATCTCACAATCCACCCCCCTTGGGGGCCAGCATCTTCGTTGGCATACCGGCCGATGTTTGGCTCTGATACCATTTGTAACAGCCGAAGCCCACTGCTAGTAGATATTATCCTCTTTGGGTTTTCCCTCAAGATTTTAAAACACGTCTACTAAGGAGAGGTTTCCACACCCTTGTAAGGAATGCTTTGTTCCCCTTTCCAACCGACGTGGGATCTCACATTCATACAATCTTCTCAAATAATCATTGGGATTTTTGGAGTTAAAAAGTGACATAAGATGCAGCTAGATTTCTGATAACGAAATAAGAATAAAGATCAACTAAGAAATTGTTGAAGTAACATGTTTCAAATCGTCTATTACCTACGAAAAATGCTCCTCCTAAATGATAATGCCAGCAATATCAAGGGAAAAAGTGATAAGCATCAAAGCATTGTATGCAGCAAATCTTAGGAACCAAAAGAAAATTGTGCGCTTCAATTACTACTGCTGAAGTAATGAAAATAACCACAAATTACCATCCTTTCGGCTTGCTAATACTCGGTAGTAGTCTTCTGCTGTAAACTCATAAAAGTCATCTGTCTCTCCTCCTAAAAGGAATAAGGGCATATAGAATGAGTTATACTTGCAAGGATGATCTAAAATCCATTTGTCTGTAAACTATGTCCAGAGCCATCCAAGGATGCAATCTTAAATTAATTTGTACCAGTGTTGGGCAATTCATCACTTGATGAAGACGGTGGCAATGTTTCAAACACTCGGATCTCTCGCCCAAATTTTTCTTTCGCACCCAGGAGCTTGGCCTAACGTCAAAAATCCCCGGTGGGGATAAAAAATAGTGAGCATTCTATACCAACAGCAGCAGATATCATTCAAATGGACCAAGTTTGCAGAACCATTACAGATTTACACCAGAGATCGCCAGTTTTTTACCAGATAAAGAGATTGTACACCAAATAATTCAAGAAGGTTACCCATAAAACTCTATCAATATAACTCGTTTAAGCACCACGAGCATGATCCTTCTCCTCACCCTCCATTTAAAAAAACAATGGAAACCCAGTTTAAGAAAGGGGGAAAGGCCAGTATGTCCACAATCATAGAGTAAAAAGAAGGAAAAGAACAGAAAAACACGATGCAAGTAAAATAGAAAGACAAAAATACAAATCTAAAGAATACCCAGAATTCCCAATCAACAATATCAAATTACTGGATCAAGCATAGGGCTATTACAATCAGCGAAGTGTAAGCGACTGGAAGAGAGAGAGAGAGAGAGAGAGAGAGAAGAAAGAGGCAAGAAAGCGAATTGAGAAAGGTAATTTGTGGGTGTAGAGGAAGAATTGGAGAAAAGACCTTAGCTGATTCGTCAGCCATGGAGTTGATGTGGTTGTAGGTAAACCGCCTTCTCTTAAGTGCTAGAGAGTAAGAATCATCCCAAACCATGAGCAAAGAACACTAATTTGGAAAGGAAGAAGAAAGGCGAGTCTCATATAAATACTGCCCTTTTTCTTCAGGTTTCGCTCCCGTTTCTTGCTGGTTGATGCGGGCACTCTTGAGGGGAATCAGAATTCCTAGCTGGCCACCCCCTTCCGCAAGTTGCTTCACACGTGCCTACCACACCTTTGAATTCCAGCTTCTGAGCTGGGCTGGGATTGGGCTCCCTTATTAGCACATACGGCCCAAACCTCACAAAATACTATAATTATCCAAAAAAATATTTCTCTTTTTTTTTTTTTTCTTTCCACAAAAATTGAAACAAAAATACCATGTTTATTTAGGTATGATTTGATTAACCGTATATTTTGAAAGAAATGAAAACTTTGGTTGTGACTTTGGTTGTGAAAGAAATGAAAACTTTATATCGCACACAGTGACTTTGATCCCATGAAAACTTTTGATTCCACCTATGTGGGTTAGATCTCATTCTTAACATTCAAGAATCTATAAAAATTAATTTAAATAGATAAAATGGTTAGGAATATCTTCGAAGTGATTTTACTTGTGATATTTCATGGCTGTGAGATCTCACCTCAATTAAAGAGGGGAGGGGAACGAGCATTGCTTATAAGGATGTAAAAACCTCTCTATAACAGACACGTTTTAAAAACTACGAGGCTGACAACGATACATTACAAATCAAAACAGACCATCTCTACTAAAAGTAAGTTTGAACCCAGCACCAAAGTGTGAGTTGTTACAAAAAGTATTAGAGTAGAGTCAAACATCGAATGATGTGAAGTATTCTTTATAAGGATATTTAAACCTCTCCCGAACCGACGTGTTTAAAAAATTGGTAATTGTAGTACCAGATGTGTTTGCTGTGAGCATACCCTTTGCTGAAACAAATTGAAATCCAGAGATAAACAGAGAGAAGAAACAAGAGAACAATAACTTCAATTACAACAAAGGCCATCATCCAGATACTGATGAGCACAATTATGAAAAATTGAACTTTGTTCTTGCTTTTCACCCGTTCAACAACAAAACAGGAATATCCCAACCCTACCCCGGGACTCGGTCGACCCGAATCCTTCTCTCCTAATCACATATACACAGAGAAAATGCATGAAAAATAGAAATTTCAGCTCCTTCAATGAAATGCATAGCAGCAGTGATGATCTCAACATTTCTCCAATGCACCTCAAAGCCATCCAATCCAATCCAATTTGTTCAAAATGGGACCATGAATTTAGCTGCTGCAGCTGCTTTTAATCACATGGTGAGGTGATTAGATTACCTTTTATGCTCACATACCAATTGCAATATCAAATCTGCTGAACGCCCATGTCAACATCTCCTCTTAGCTACCCAGTTGCTGCTCCTAACCCTCCTTTGGTAGAGATGAGGACTGCTTCGTTACTCGCACCATTCGCCGCAGCAATCTCTTCCAAGCGTTTCCACTTGGCCTCACGCCTCGATTTCACATCCTTCTCCTGTGTCTCTTCTTGAAACTTGAGCAAACATTCCTCGAACAGCTCTGGGTCAGCATCCGAGAAGATCTTGCGGACGTTTTGTGTCAAGTTTTGTACAGCCTGGTTCCAGTGATTTCTTGAATTTCTCTCCAGCCCAGGAAATATAATCGGCAAAATGACTTTGCGGTTCTGTTTGATTAGGTTCTCAATCTGAGTATTGTTCCATAAAAATAGAGTCCTTTCAGCCACCTGAAAATGAACAACAAACTCGATACAGTCGCATACAAAATCAAGAACACTAATTTTGCTTCTACTTCAAAAAGGTTAAATAAAATTGTACTTGTAACCGTCTAAGCCCACCGCTAGCAGAAAAAATGTTTTGTTCTCCTCCCCAATCGATGTGGGATCTCACAATCCACTCCCTTAAGGGCCCAGCATCCACTAGTTCCTCTCTCCAATAGATATGGGATCTCATAGTACTCGTGGACTAATCTAGCAAGGTTACATCTCTAGATTCACAGGTTACCAAAACATTTGCCAACAATTGCACCTAAAGCGACTTGGCCCAGGTGCACACAAGGCACCTTTCTGCCTAAGCTCCAGCCTTTTAGGAGGAAAAAGAACTAAGCTCCAACGAGCTATTGTTCTCCAGTGTTGCCCGAATGAAAGCAAACAAACAAGGGTCGGGCAGTCGACCTTTTTCATTAGTTTATATTAAATATGAAAGAACTATAGTTAAAGAAATAAATATACTAAATACGAAAGAACAATAATTAAAGTCGCATATATGAACTCAGAACTCAGAACCTAAAGTTACGAGCTCGCTATGATCTCACAGTTCAATTACCAAACTTAGAAATTAAAAGAAAAATACTAAATATGAAAGATCAATAGTTAAAGTTGTACAACCTATAGAATAGATCTTGTTCAGGTAAGATCTAGCTAAATCAGCCAACCTAAGATTACAACAAAATCTAATATGAACTATTATAGATAGGATACTATGAAATCCCACATCCATTGGAGAGAGGAACAAGCCCAGCGTCCTCGCTGGACGCTGGGCTTTGAAGGGGAATGGGTGGACGCTGAGCTCTGAAGGGGGATGGATTGCGAGATCCCACATTGATTGGAGAGAGGAATGAGTCCCAGCAAGGACGTTGGGACCCGAAGGAGGGTGGATTGTAAGATCTCATATCGGTTGGAGAAGAGATTGAAGCATTCTTTATAAGGGTGTGGAAACCTTTCCCCGCATTTTAAAAACTTTGAGGGGAAGCCCGAAAGAGAAAGCCCAAAGAGGACAATATTTGCTAGCGGTGAGCTTTGGCTGTTACAAACGGTATCAGAGTCAGACAAGCAGTGTGCCAGCAGGACGTTGGGCCCCGAAGGGGGTGGATTGTGAGATCCCACATCGATTGGAGATAAACAAGCACTAGCGAGGATGCTGGGCCCCGAAGGGGGTGGATTACGAGATCCCCCATAGATTAGAGAGGGGAACGAGTGCCAGCAAGGACGCTGGGCCCCAAAGGGGGGTGGATTGTGAGATCCCACAACGGTTGGAGAGGGGAACGAAGCATTTTTCACACACGTTTTAAAAACCTTAAGGGGAAGCCCAAAAGGGAAAGCCCAAAGAGAACAATATCGGCTAGCGGTGGACTTGGGACGTACAAAGAGTAATCATTATAGTTGTAGGAAAAACATTATCGAAGTTAACCTTAAACCAAACCTGCCATGGATTTATTGTTTCTTATCTCAAAAGATCAAACTTGCCATGGAACTAAGAATAAGTAGCATCAAATTTGGAGCACTTAATGCCTTTTCAATCTACTTACCAGTGTAGAAACGTGTTAATTCAGGGACCAATGTTAAGCTAAAAAAGAGGGAAAGCAAGGAAATTGAGCGAAAAGAAAATGAAAAAGAACTCAGTCATACAGTCTACCTGAAAATGTGAACTGCTCAAGCAACGTCCAATCTGTCGAAACAACGGTACCATGCAACGCTGAAACTCGGCAGGCTGAGTCGCTTCTAAGACTTCTTCAAGTTCACCTAAGAACATCACCTCCTTAGAGCTGTTTGTAATTGGCCAATATTTTAGTAAGCCCCTTATGATTGTATCAGCAAGCTTGCAATCTTTCTCTACAAATTGTGTTATACAGTACGATAACTGCTGATGATACATGGGTATGCATTTCGGTTTGTGAAGAGGAATAAGTGCTCGAACGAGAAAGAGTTTATGCTCTTCTTTTAGAGGAAGAGCAAATCCATTGATTATACTGCCCAAAATCTCTAAAAGCTCAGCAATCCCGTTATGCTTCTCGGTTTCGAAAATAAACCGGTAGAAAATATTGTTGATTGATTTCCTGATGAATGGTCTATGTACCATAAATTTCCCATAGATGCGGTGCAGAACTGTCTTCAAATAATCCCTCTCTCTGGGGTCCTCAGAATCAAAAAGATCCAACAGTCTTAGAACAAAAGAGTGATCAATGTACCTCTTTGCCAACTTTGCATCTGTTTCAGGTGATGCCACAAACCTGAGCAGAAACTCATAAACAACTTGTAAGTGTGGCCAAGCAGGGTCCATTGAAGGCTCCTCTTCCTCGAGATCAAATGCTTCTAAAGCTTTGTTATCTCGTGATGGGATGGTAGGCGTTCGAAATAAATTCGACGACACCATCTTCACAATTTCTTGTATAACATTTTCTGACAGCTTTCCATTGACAGATGCAACATAATCAACAAGCTCTATTAGTGTCTGTCGTTTGATATCCTTTTCCTTGAGGTTCTTTGACGGGTCGGTGAAGTCAAACACCACACAACACATGTTCAGCTTCTTAATGAACAACCCCTGCTTCTCCGAATTCGGAACATCTTTGAAACCTGGTAGCGCCTCATAAGTAGCTTGGGAGTTACCATTTGACTTTGAATTGAGCCCTTGAGATGCCTTACTGCCATGATTTTGTCCAATGCTCAAAGCAGAATTCGGGCCAGAAAAAGATCCAGTTCCAGCGTTGGCGTGGTTGTTGTTAGCTGCTAAATCGTTGCTCCTCGAACTTGTAGAAGCATTAGAAGAAGAGATAATCGTCCCAGCTCCTTCACGATGCTCGGTTGACTTCGATGGTTTTCGTGGAAGCCTATTAAGTATTTGTTTAATCATGACTTCAATGGAAAAACAAAAGATTTTCCTTTTTCACTTCGAAACACTCACTAATTCTCTAATTTCTTCCAAGCAAATACAGCTTCTTTTACATGGAACAATGAACAACCTACAACAAAACAAGAACTTCCCAAATGTAGTCAGCAAAAGATCTAATACCATTTCAATAACAATCCCAGTAGCGTTTAGCCTGCAATCAAATGGGGGAAACCTCCTAATTAAGAAACTAAACCCATTTAGCACTTCAATTATGAAACCTTAGAAGAAGAAAACAATGGCTATTCTTCCACCAAGAACACAACAGCAGATTTGCTCATATGGGGTTATATCAACAAACCCAGATGGGCAGATGCAGAGAACAATCAAATTAAAAGAGAAACAAGATCATTAAAAGTAGAATCACAAGAACAGACGACTTCCATCTTCAACAACATAAAAAAAGAAAAGGGCAGTGAATAATGACCTCACTCTATTCGTCTCTCTCCCCCGCCTCTATTCCCCTTGAGTTCATAAAGGTCAACAAGATAAGCAAGTGGATCAAGAGAGAACAAGATCTGGGCATGATCTATTGACCCACATCAATCTCCAGCAAAAGCAGCCTGCAAAATTCCCAAAAGGCAACAGGATGAGAAAACTGGGTCGCATTCAAAACAGATTCGAAATCAAAATAGGAAGAGATGATGTAAGAACAGGGGGAAACAAAAAAAGTGGGAAGCCGGAAGTAAAATAAAAAAGAGGTGGGGAATTGGAATTACAGAGGTATAGAAGAGATGGATGCGGATTTAAGGCGTGAAAGAAAGAGCAGAGAGACGTATAGATAGAAGGCGAGGGATAAAGAAGAGGGGAAGAGAAGGAGATTGAGACCCAACCCAGTGAGTAGCAAAAAGGTTAGGTTAGAGAACAGCAATCCATGGCTGCTGCTGTGTTTGGGATTTCAAGATCGTTCTTCCAATGCTTTGTTTAGCAAAACAACAGTTTTTGATAATACCCTTTCTTCCTCACTTTCCCTTCATACTATCCTTCCAATTTCAACCTCAAAAAATTTTCTCCTTTATTTTCTTTAATTTTTTTACCTTTTCTTTTTCCTTTTCAAAATTATAGTTCATGGGTTTTCTTTTTCTGTCCATTTAAACAATATATTCTTAAAATTTGGTCAAAAAACATAGATTATTTCTGCGACATGAACTGAAAGAGCCATATTTTTAACAATATTTTTCGAAATTGTGGTTTATTAAGAGCTTAATGTTTGGGAAGCGCTTTGGATGCCTTGTTTGGCGGTGGCTGATTCACTCATGGAGGAGATTATGAATCTCTCCCTCTTTTAAATGTGCATCAATTTTTACTTCAAGTTGACTCTGACCAATAATCAAGCTAAATCATCTTGTTTACCTCTCTAAATTCTTTTTAAATCTTTTTTTTTTGTTACAATATTTATTTATAACCATTGTCTCGTCATTTTTGTGAAATAATGCATATGTATGAGATTTTAAGGACTAAATTCTACCTTCAGGACTAAATTTGCAATTTAACCTAATTGTGTAATAGCCCAAGCCCACCAAATTAGGTATTACAGAGTCAGTCTCACAACTCATCCATAGATAAAGGTGTAAGGTTTTCAGACTCACAACTCATCTATTGGTACGGTGTAAGGTCTCTTCAGTCTCACAACTCATCTATAGGTAAAGACACCCTCAACCTCAGAGTCTTATTCACACCCTCAACCTTACAATTTTACGCATCTAGTAGGGAAAGGTTTCCATCCCTTCAACGTCACAATTTTAAAACTCATTTACTAGGGACACCCATTAGCCTCACACTATTAGAAAGAGGTTTTCTAGAATAATTAGGCATTTACTAAAGAGGCGTTTCCACACTCTTAGCCGTTAGCCGTTCCCCTTTTCAAGGGATATAAAATCTTACAAATTGTCACCTAACATTTACTAGCACCCATGATAGTAGCAGAAGTACAAATATATATATATATATATACAGAAGACATAGAAGGAGAAAGAATGGCTTTATCTATCAATCAATTATCACCCCTAACCAAAATACATTATTATGTCATTCAAAAACAAAAAAACAAAAAAATGGAAACCACTACACACGTTCAAATTAAAAGTCTATAAGACTCATAAAAATCCCTTGTGCTTCCTCTTCTTCCTGACCCTCCTCCTTCCTCGACTGGGCTCTTCTTGCCAAGGCAAAAGATGGGTTTTTGAATCGCTCAACGTGTCCAGCACCAGGTCCCTTACCCCAGTGTCATTGACCTCACAGAACCGGCTCGACCAGTCCTCTGGTTCTACTGCCTTAGTCCCCAGCCCCGGCGCCCTGTCCTTCGACCCCACGTTCTGCTGATCCTGCCAATCCGCCACATACGTCGCCACCCGCCTGTAAAACTTCTCCTTGAACACTTCCCAAACTTGGTACTTGTAATGGTTTATGACCATCTCACTCCTATCCAAATTCACATACTGAAACCCATCTCTCAAGTGGAAATGATGCACCACGTTGATCAATGTGGAGTTCAAAACCTCCGGGTTCACTATGCTCTTGTGCCGCTCCGGCACCGCTTTTCTGCACGTGTACCCAACCGTCACGCCCTGTGGCGGCATCCGTTTCAGCCCCGATGGCCCGAAGCTGTGGCAGGACACGCGAATCTCCCCAACCGTGGTGTTTTTGGCTTGGTTTGTGAGCACGTCCAGTAGAGACAAACCACTTGGCAAGTAGAAAAACTCGTCAACATCAATGAATCCGACCCAGTTGCAAGAATCACGAGCCCGTAAAGCACAATGTGCAAAACCAGATTCCTGGGTCTTAATCCAGGGCCAGATATATCGGGAAATATTGTGTTTGACACTGGAGATTGATGCAATTGCGTCTTCTATGTCGTCGTCGCTGTTGTTGTCGTAGATGAACCAGCGGCTGACGCCGAGATGGGCGTGGTAAATGATCCATTCTTTAAGAAACTGTGCTTGGTTTCGCAGCATTGTGCATATGCACATCTCGTGGGGCTTCCGGGGGGGTGGTGCGGAGGATTCTGATAAGGGCAATGGGCGGGCTACTGATTTCAAAATTCCGCCGCCTTTAATTCTAATGGAGACTTTAATTGCATCATGGATTCTATTGGGATTGCCGTGCAAACTAATTGGTGTTCTACAGCGCGCAACTTCTTGGGCAAGCGACATGACCTCGGACCTTAGCAGAAACTTGACCTTCCGAAAATCCCACCCAAAAACACACTCGAATTTCGACGCGTTGGTGAGTCGCTCAGGGCGTAGATTGAGTCCTTTGACAAAGACAATGGTGGTGTTGTCTCGGTCCATTAGTGCTTCATACGCAAGAGAGTCCCACCGGTGCGACTCCCCACCTCGGAGATGGGACTTGGATCTCACTCTAATTGAAACTCTAGACCCGCGAGGCGGGAGTGGGCACCGGACTATTTGCTTTTGAAGACTCTCCTCATTATCCAAGCCGATCGGCCGCCGCCGCCGCTTGTGGGGCACCGACGAGTTCCCGGCGAAATAAATGCAGGCGATATCCCTTATGGCAAATGGTCGAACAGTTTGTGGGTGGTTGATGAAAACGAGAGCTTGATCGGGTAGGGTCACCGTTTCTTGAACGGAATACCGTAAATTAACAGAGGAATCATCGGAAACGGCGCTATTCACCGGAGTTTGCCGCGTGTGAACCAGCTCTGGTTGAAAGGTATCTGTTACACATTTTACATACACATAGAAGAAAACCGAGGGGAAAAAAAAAAAAAAAAATCAGAGTTCCCAACAATGACAGATTCAAATTCCGATCAGATCAGGCAGAAATCTAAAAAAAGAAATTAGTTAGAGCAATGGGGGGATGAAAATGGAAATCAAAAAACATACCACCGGAGAAGAGACGAAAAGTGATGAAAAGGACGAAGGGTAGAACGAGGAGGGTGCACCAGAAGATGGCGATCCAAGAAACGACATTGCGTTTCCTCCGATCTTTCATGGCGGAGGCGGGGTCATATATGGAATTTGCGAAGGAAAATGATTATGCCGGCGAGTGGGTTCAGTCATTCATGCTATAGGGAGGAGAACAGAGGCGAGCAGGGCAGGGTCAGATCTCGTGGTCGGGCCCTGCGTTGGCTCTGGAATGGAAGGCAAGGAGAAGGAATAGAAGAAGGAAAGTTGTGTTCTGTTAATGGTTTGATGGGAAAGAGAAAGGGCTGGCGCTTTTGGTGGCTTATCGGAGGGTGGTTACGGGTAAATCCTCATAAAACGAAGATTCCACCTCTTCGTCTTCTTCCCTTCCCTTCCACCCAAACAATGCCACCTCATCCAAAACTGCCTTTCCTTTTTTATAAACACTTTTTTTTTTCTTTTTTTCTTTTTAATATTTATAACAAATATCTGATTTTTTTTTTTTAAAAAAACATAATTATATACATGTATAAAATTGTTTTTTAAAGTACAATTAGTTAATAAGTTCTGAAAATTTCCTTATAATCTGAGTGACGAATGCTCGAACATCAGATGACATTCAAAAGAAATGTTTTAGAAAACGTGAGCGAAAAAATATGTTGAATTATAAAAATAATGTTATAGGCTAAACGCGAATAAACCATAAGATTTACGAATAGGGAAGAATTAATAAGAATTTTGATAAATGTATTGTTTCATATTAAAATAAAATACCTTTAAATAAAACAATTATATGAAATGGTAATTTATTAAATTTATTAGTAACGGTTGAAATTCTACCAATAAGATGGTAAATAAAACTATATTTATTGATTGGGATGGAATGACGTGGGAGGAGGAGATTAAGGGTACAAAAAGTTAACGGTGGTTTTGAATGTAGTGGATGGGTCCCACTTTCGACGATGTTTTTCTTTTTTTTCTTTTTTTTTCATTTTCATTTTGGAGGGATAAAGTGAGAGTAATAAGAATTTGAGTTGAAGTAACAATAATAATACCTGGAATAAGTTGCAGAGGTAACAAGTGCTTGCTAATAGGGGTTGGAATAATACATGGATGATTATGCAACAACAAAATTCTGCTCACGCACAAGCTCAGACACTACCTAACTACACCACCGCGGTTCGTATAATTAAACCATATAAGCATCGGTTTCCCCTTGCCCCTGCTCCGACCACCCGGGCACCGCTCTGAATTTGCAAACAGGACATGTTCCCTGCTGCCCCAGCCACGGATCTATGCAGTTCGCATGGAACTACAACATTGAACTCATGTATCGAGATTAAACGGAAGAGAGGCTTCGAATACTAAAATGAAAGGAAACGAACAGAAGTTCATTTTGTAACAGCCCAAGCACATATTGTCCTCTTTGGACTTCTCCTCAAGGTTTTTAAAACACGTCTACTAGGTAGAGGTTTCTACACCCTTATAAAGAATGTTTCGTTCTCCTCCCCAACCGATGTAGGATCTCACACATCTACTTCCAACATGAAATATCTGCGATTATTTCTTCAGAAGGGTAGGTGTTGGATGATGAAAGTCCCACATTGGCTAATTTAGGGAATGATCACGGGTTTATAATCAAAGAATACTCTTTCCATTGGTATGAGGCCTTTTGGGAAAGCCCAAAGCAAAGTCACGAGAGCTTATGCTCAAAGTGGACAATATCATACCATCGTGGAGAGTCGTGTTTGTCTAACAGCAGGCAAAGAGAGAGACAGAGAGATAAACCTGATGCAAACATGGCAAACTGCGTATGAGTTCACCAACATTTACTTGCTCTAAGCAAACACTGCATGTAAGTTCATCCTGTAAGGACTTGGTACCGCTAACTGCATTGACTGAATCTGGTCTCTTCTGCAAAAGAATAAAACGTACTTGAAAATTGATGATAAGAATCAAGAACACTACAAAATTTAGGCCTTCTTTGTGTGTTCTGCATTACAAAACGAGTAAGTTGGTGGATACCTCATTGGATTCTGAAGATGAAGCTTGTTGATTCGCAGCAGGGTCGCTGCCCATAATTTAAAGATAACTTAATTTGAGTTTTTTGGGCATAAGCTAGAGTATAACAGATAAGATGCACTAATTAATTATGGATTACCTTTGAGGACCAGAAACCTTGTATTTATGAACAGGAAGAGCATTTATTTGTTCCTCGCTCATTGACGGTGTTGTTGGAACATTGTCAGAATCCAAAGCTCTCAAAGTTTCATAGTCTGAAGAAAAATGATATGTTAAGACAGTGTCATAGACAAGAATATATAGGAAACTTTCCTTCCTTAACTAATCAACACAATAGAAAAGAGTCTGTGCCGAGAAATAGGTGAAATCGGTTGTAACAACCCAAGCTCGCTAGCAGATATTGTCTTCTTTGGGCTTTTCCTTTCGACCTTCCCCTCAAGGTTTTAAAACGCGTCTATTGGGAGAGGTTTCCACACCTTTTATAAGGGATGCTTCGTTCCCCTCTCCAATTGATGTAGGATCTCACAATCTACCCACCTTGGGGCCCAACGTCCTCGCTGGCACACTGCCCCACCGCTAGCCAATATTGTCCTTTTTAGGCTTTCTTGTTCGGTCTTCTCCTCAAGGTTTTAAAACGCGTCTGCTAGGGAGAGGTTTACACATTTTATTAGAAATGATTCGTTTCCCTCTCCAACTGATGTGAGATCTCACAATCCACTCACCTTGGGGGCCCAGCGTCCTTACTGACACACTACCCGTTGTCTAGCTCTGATACCATTTGTAACAGCCCAAGCTCACCGCTAGCCCATATTGCCCCCTTTGGGCTTTCCCAATTCGGAATTCCTCTCAAGGCTCACATCTGCTATGGAGAGGTTTCCACACCTTTTATAAGAAATGCTTCGTTCTCCTCTTCAACCAACATGGGATCTCACATCGGTACACTAGAAGAATATCAAAGAATAGTGGCCATGTTTGACTAATTCTAAGCTAAGAAACTGCATTGTATAGATTTGAACCACACCTAAATCATCAAATTCCCTATCAAGCAGAGCAAGTTGAAGCCTTAGCCCTTGTAAACGCCCTCTAGTTGCAAGTGCTATTGATGGTGGCATATGCAACCTCAATTCAGTGTGACCCAGAAGACCACTAGCTGCCATAGCTCTAGCTTGGGCTTGAGCCTGAAGTTGTTGACAAGTCGCGTACATCCTTAATGTTGTAGCCATTAAAAACACACCAAGCACAAGCCAGAGCTAAATATGCATTTTCAGAAGAAGAAAATGTAAATATTTGCATCAAGGGTTAAAAACTACTAAACAATCACAGTGTGGTAAGCGAAATTTACCAGAAAGTTTGGTGACATCTGGTGAGAGTTCAATATCATGAATAACAGAAGAACTGAAACAAAGTCAAGGAGTAAAACCAACGCAATAGATCAAAATTATCACATGAAACAGAAATCAGTCATGAATATAGGTGAAATGGTACCTGTGACAAGAAAGGCAAGTGAGTTCGAGTTAACAGGGCGTGCTGCATGAACACGCTGATTGGGAGAAGAAAGAAAATATATTTTAAACAAAAATTTCTGAGCATTGGTATTGAAAACGTAAAGTCATTCAAATATCGAGCATACCATTGCACGCCGCTCAGGTATAAATCCAGGGAGACCATTTTCTATGTCTGGAACTCGTGTTCCACGGAAAACAAAACTCATGTCCAATGTAGATGTGACAGCTAGTTCAAGTCAGAGAAATGTGAATCTACATAATGAAAAATCTAATGAACTCCTGACAATAATCTGCAGAACACAGCAAGAAAAATGCTCCAGTATCTTAATAGAAAGAAGCATAATGATTTCCGCAACTCCTTGAACAAATGACATGAGAACTGAAGCTTGAAGAATCAAAGAATCATAATAGCCTAAGCTTTGTCAATGTAAAGATGTAATGACAATGGCTAACCAATAAACCACTCATACGACAAACAAAATCATGAGTAATTTAAAAGAGTATGAAGTTCTTCCAATACATATGCAGTTCAACAGGAAGAGCATAGCAATCCCAATTAATTGTTATCAAATTCAATCCATCAGCCACAATCATTCATCAGCTGATCACCTGGGCACCCCATTAACACCAAAAAGACTGTAAGATCACTGCATTCAAACTCAAACATACATCCATCCATCTTATATCAAAAGATTGAGGTCTCTACTAATGCTCGAGTAAGAAATCAGAACTACCGGTCGATCGAACCAGATCAGTTTTGAACTTTTTTCATCCAAATTCTCAATTCTCCACATTTCCATTAAACTCCCAGAGATAATTAAATGAGGCGATAACACGAATCTATAAACAGAATCAGACAGACACGACAATTCTACAGCCCCATAAGCTTCTATGACAGTTAAACAAGTGAAATTAAAACAATAAGAAAAGAAAAATCGCTTAATTAAAGAATCCCGAGTAACAAAAAAGGCATAAGAAACGAGCGATCATCAAATAATCGAACCAGATTAATCCTTGATGAGAGAAATCCGAGACCTACAGAACAGAATCGAGTAAATTGGGTTGATTTTGTTGGTCCAAAAACAACAAGGATGGCTTGGAATCAAAAAGTTACGATGATGGGGCATGCTAAAATTACGTGAAAAATGATAACCCGACGGTAGCGACGGAGAAGATGGGGGAGCGAGTCGATGGCCGGAGGTGACTCGGACGTGTTGAGTTGCTTGTTGTGACCCGTCTCCTCTAAGGAAGGCTTTGGATAAAAGGAGTTCAGTTGAATTCATTAAACGACGTCGTATTAGATTTGCTCAAACCGAAATCACCCCTCCATTCTGTGGGACCCTGTCTGTCCCCAACATAACAATTTTACGATTTTATTTTCCCACTAATAATTTAATATACAACAATTTAATTATTTTTTAATCTGCAATTAAATTAAATTAAATTATATTAAAAAGTTAAGCCAATTTTTTAATAAAATGTAGAACCAAAAATTAATTTTTATAATGTTATTTTTCAAACATAATTTAGACAAAGTCCTAGGTTATTATTGTGGCTTTAATGTATTTCTAGTTTAATGTAGTTTAAAATTTTTGGAGACGTTGACCAAAATTGAATTGAAAATTTTAAAGGTCCAATCCGAGGCGTTGACCCGCTGAATCACACCTGGTCTCGACAAATCCCAGCCTTGATTTCGCCAGATCATATTCCATCCACAAGTTCTGTTGATGATGATTCCCAATCACAAACGCCGCTATTCCCAACAAATCCGAGTTCCCAAACGTCATGCAATACACCCAATCACCACCCTTCACCATTCCCGGCACTCGGTACAGCAGCAACTCCCCGCCCACAACCATCTCCGCCCCATTCAACATTAGACTCACCGTCGGCAGCGGCGGAAGCTTCCCCTGATTCGCCGGTACTCGGAAGCACGAGTCCATTGCTCCTTGGAACACGAAATTCGGATCACCCAGTGGAACCAAAACGCCCTTCGTTTGTACCAGAAACTCGTTCTTTAAAGCCGTGTACACCGGCCCCAGAAGAAACGTGAACTGGGTCCCGGAATCCACCATGGTCTGCCCGGCGCCGGTGTGGTCCGGAACCAGAATTGATTTCTCCAGCGCCAGGATTTTGTTCCCCACTTTAATTCCCTCCAGTTTGACTGTGTACGCGAACCGATCGTACGACGGCAATGGCGTCGACATTTGAACCAACGGCGTGTACGCCATATTCCCAACCCACGAATGATTACCTTCGCCTAAAATCAGAACGCCGGAGGAATCACGACCCGATATGCAGTAAGAGAATTTCGACAGACCCAATTGAGTCACAAACGAAAGCGACCCCCGGTTCATCCCCATTAGCCCAGTGGTCTTCGCATCCTCCTGCGGATTCGAACTCGAACCCAAACCCATACACCCGAATAAAGTTCCGGGTTTATTCAACGACCCGATTCGAAACGTGTCGGATGCAAGATTACCCTCGAGAGACGAGCCGTCAGCGTATGAGACAAAGACATTGCATAGTTTTTCTTCGTCGCATACAACCGGGTTGGGTAAGTCTCGGGTTTGCTTCTGACAAATGGGGGAAATGCAGGGGATTCGCGAGTAAGAAGAGGAAGAAAGTGGGTTAAAAACAGAGGTCAAAGTTTGGGTTTTTTTTTTGCAGTTAAGCCAGGGGAGTTCACTCCCTGTATCCAGCACCATCGTGACAGCTTGAGGCGGCGATCCGACAGTCAACTCAACGGTCAACGTGACATTATGGTGGAAACTGAGTTTGTTCGACGGCTGTGAATTCAATCCCGTCTCTGTTTTGAGTGGCAAAACCATCGCCTGAGTTGCACAAAAACAGAGACTCTGCTTGAAACAGAGGAGGAAGACGAGGAGTTGCAGGAGGTGGAGGAAGAAGTTCATGATTTCGCAATGGAATCGAATCTAATCCACGAGAAAGAATATGGGTTGATCGTGTTTTTGAATGGAATGCGATCGATTTGTTGGTTCGGATTGAAATATCCGAAGGAAATAGAGCGTTTCTTGAGAGAAAAAGGGACTGTTTCAGAGTTTCATAAATAGTGCGTTTTGTGTACAAAAACGTGCGTTACGGGGTAGGCTGTAGGCAAAAATATTGTCCATTAATTTACCTTATTATAATTTTTGTATTTAAGGAATGTTTTCCTATACACACATTTAATTCAAAATAAAATTACAAAAAATGCTTCCAATTTTACCTTTTAAAAAAAATAAATTAATTAAAATAATCTGGCAGATTTTAATATATCTAATTAGAATTTTACCTTTTTAAAAAAATAAAATTAATCAAAATGATCCGATCTAATTAAGATATATATCGTGAATATACAATTAAATAAATTAAATATGAGGTTATCGAATAATTTATGACCATTAATATATTACCTTTTCTATTATTTATTTGGTATCAAAATCTCACCTTCAAATATTTCATCTTTTCTCTCATTTTTGCGTAAATGATTACTTTGGTTGTTGCCATTCAATTTCTTTATTAATTATTTGTTCACAAATATATTCTAAATTTAATGTTTAACCCATTGTTTATGCAATTTTCTAAATTTTTGATAAGAGATAATAATATCAAAAGGGCTTGATATTCCAGTTATACTCAAGTTCGTGAATTATAATATAATTTTTTTCTATTATATTAGTTTTAAACTATGTATTTAATATTGTGTGACATATAAATAATTAAATTTTCAAATATTTGTATAACTCGTATATCTTTTTTGGATTATACATTATAAATCCTAAAAATTGAAACAATTATCAAATACGACACAGAGTGGAACTGGAATATATACATCAGTGCTAGCTGTAAAATTTGTTTCGAGTCGAAAGAGAGAGAATTCTTGGTCATAGCTTTCATAGCCATGGAATCAGATATTGTCCTTAGACAGTGAAATTAAAAACAAGTTTGTGTAACATAATTTCAAAATTATGTCTCCTACGAGCTAGAATATAATAGAAGTAATAGATGAAAGACGAGTCTTAATGTTATGGGTTCTTTTGGACCAAAAGAACAAACTAAAGTTACGAGAGAAACCAGAGGTGAAAATTGACGGAAGAAGCCCAATGCAATATAAAATTTGAACCAACGGAGAAGGATCAAACCATCAGGACTGGAGCCTAAATGAAACTCCTCGAAGAGACATATGTCATGTATGTCCTTGACTCATGGCTTGATTCATCTTTAATCTTATTCACATCGAAACATAAAAAGCCTCGAAGAGTTATCATTCAAGTAAAGAAAAGATGCATTATCCTATCAAAATTTCACTGTCAACGGGAACAAAATTATTTATTTTTTCGAAAAAAAATCAAATTTAAGATATTTTTAATTTATCAAAATAATCATATTACCTTTATTTAGCTCAACTACTTTATAATAGGATCAATCTTGATTTAATTAATGTTGACTTTAGATTAATTATTTACTTTGTTTGATTGAAAAACAACAAATCACCCACTGGTCTTAATCAATAATTTGTCACATTCCATGACCTAAACACGATGATTCAAGGGTCAATATTAATTCAAGGGTCAATATTAAGTGGAATTTTAATACATTTACTACTTTTCATAATTCAAGTTTCACGAGACCCTTAAAGTATTGAAGAATTGACTCCAAAGTTAATTCTCGATCTTTTCTCTCTTCTTTTAAGGTCAGTGAGGTTCATAAAAACCCATTTGGTTGTTTTTTCATGAGATTAGTTAAAATTCCGACAAACCCATCAACTAATACCCTCGACAAGTTGGCCAAAGAGGACTTAGACCTTTTTCTTGAGGGGTCGGCCTTTCTTGAGTTGTATCGAACCTTTAAGTCGACCCTAATGTCATACGAACAAATTCAAATTGGTTCTAAAACATGGATTAAAGAGTGGAGGTTTGACAGCTCAAATCAAAGGGTACTTCATATAGGACTAGGAGGGCAAAATGTGATGATATATCGAGGAGCCCTACACATTTTAAGCCCCGTAGATTCATCATAAGCATAGCTATAAGCCATGGGGCATATGGCCTTAAACAAATGCCCAAAAATCGATGGCTTACAAATTTTGGGATCTGCATATTCCCCTCTGCAGCAATACATATCCGATTTCGCAGCCAAACAAGCGCTTTTACACCCCACCACTTTCCCGTCTCTCTTCACCTCCAGCACCGACGGGCAGCACCGGTTCAGATCCGCCGCACACGCCGCAACCCCACACCCAACTTCCCCGCCGATCGGAGCCATCGCCACCGGAACATTGAATCCATCCACCAGACTCACATCGTAGTAATGCATCGACGACTTCGAAGTCCCCAACGTCATCTCCACCACCGTCGCCGGCGGTACGCCGCCGGTTCCGCTACAATTGAGGAGTCCAGCGCAGTCGCCGGTCTGGCAGGAACCTCGACCGGTTTTTGGGTCGAAACAACAGCCCTGTCTTGGCCAGACTCTGCCGGACCATCTCTCCGGCAATTCAACCACCGTCTGTTCTCCAGTTGAGAGATGAAATCCACCGTCTCTGGGAAGTGGGTTGCCGGCGTTTCCTAAAATACCAGGCCATATGCTCTCCTTACAGTTGTTCACTATGATCAACTGAACCCCATCTGTAAAACAGAACACCACATTCATAAGTAAAAGAAAGAACATTCCTTTGACTAAAAATCCAACGAAGAACACAAATTATGAACCTGCAAGAGAGAAGAACAAGAAGAACAAGAAGAAGGAGTGATTAAACATTTGATTTAGATTAATTTTGAGAAGGAAACTGGAAGTGTTCTCTGTAATTGAATAAGGAGAAACTTGAAAACAGGTTCCTAATTTACAGGCACCATGATTTTGAGCTTCAGAAACTGTAATTTCTGAAACGGTTTTTGATCAACCGGAGACTTCGTTTCAATAGGATAAATTAGAAAAAAAAAATATATATATAAATAAAATTATTGTTTACTCTAAAAAAATTATGACGTAATTATTTATAAAGAAATAGAAAAAAAAGAAAAATTTACGTTAATTTATGTTTAAGAAAGTTTTATATTAAAATGAAATTGTAATAGAAAAAGACGAGAATTTATATAGCCCGGTCTAGTTTTCCAGAAGCCCATTTTGAACGAATCCGGTTCGAGGAAAAGAAGCAGACAGCTAATAACCGGATCATTCGGTTGGCCAACCCTAAAACGAGTAAACTTAACCGGCTGTAGTTGCCCTAACCGGCCCATCCGGTACTGAAAACCAGCGCTTTTCTGCTCACGAAACTCAAAACTCAAACCCTAAACCCAACTCGGTTTCTTTTGTTTTCATCAAGCCGAACCCTTCTTTGTCCTGCAAAGTATTCAACTCCGAGTAAGGTTCTATCTCATCTGTATCTTTATACTTTTTCAATTTCGTAGATTTTTTGGCTTTCGATTATAACATTCATGCTCCTAATAATCGATGAGCCACTCTGAGATTGAAGGCCTTCATTTTGGAAATAATTCCGTTTTGTTCTCCATATTTTCTTGTTACGGAAATTTAATCAATCTGTGTGTGTGTGTGTGTGTGGGTGTTTTTTTTTTCCTTTTTTCTGGGAAGGTATCTGTTGAGATTGCGGGAATGAGTTCCGGTTTGCAGCTAGTTCCTATCACGCCGCAAAAACACGACCCAGCATGGAAGCACTGTCAAATGTTTAAGAATGGGGATAGAGTGCAGCTCAAATGTTTGTACTGTCACAAACTGTTTAAAGGTGGAGGGATTCATAGAATAAAAGAACATCTTGCTGGTCACAAGGGTAATGCTTCTACTTGCCACAGTGTTCCTCCTGAGGTCCAGATTATAATGCAAGAGAGTTTAGATGGGGTGACGATGAAGAAGAAGAAGAGACAGAAGCTTGATGAAGAAATGACAAATGTGAATGCCATGACTGGTGAGGTAGATGCAATTTCAAATCATATGGATATGGATTCTAGTCTTCAATTGATTGAAGTTGCTGAGCCACTTGAAACCAGTTCAGCTTTGCTAATGAATCATGAGGAAGGAACAAGTAATAAACTGGGAAGGAAAAGGGGTAGTAAAGGGAAGAGTTCTTGCGTGGAAAGAGGTATGATTGTCATTCCGAATGGTGGTGGTATATTAGATTCTAATAAGGTCAATAATCAAGTGCATATGGCTGTTGGCCGATTTTTGTATGACATTGGGGCATCTCTAGAAGCAGTAAACTCTGCCTATTTCCAGCCAATGATAGAATCAATTGTTTCAGCCGCTACTGGGATCATACCGCCCTCGTACCATGATATTCGGGGTTGGATATTGAAGAATTCAGTGGAAGAAGTGAGGAGTGATTTTGACAGATGCAAAGCAACATGGGGAAAGACTGGTTGTTCTGTCATGGTTGATCAGTGGCGTACAGAAGCAGGTCGAACCATGCTGATTTTCTTGGTGTATTGCCCTGAGGGAACAGTGTTTTTGGAATCTGTGGATGCATCTGGAATTATGGATTCCCCAGATTTGCTTTACGAATTACTCAAAAAAGTCGTGGAACAAGTTGGGGTGAAACATGTACTGCAGGTGATTACTAGGTGTGAAGAGAATTATGCTATTGCTGGTAGAAAGCTTTCTGATACGTATCCGACCCTCTATTGGACTCCATGTGCTGCGAGTTGTGTGGATTTGATTCTTGGGGATTTTGGAAACATTGAGAGTGTAAATACTGTTATTGAGCAAGCTCGATCGATTACAAGATTTGTCTATAACAATAGTATGGTTTTAAACATGGTCAGACGGTATACCTATGGTAACGACATCTTGGAACCTTGCGCCACAAGATCGGCCACGAACTTTGCCACGTTGAATCGGATGGTTGATTTGAAACGATGTTTGCAGACCATGGTTACTTCTCAAGAGTGGATGGACAGCCCATATTCAAAGAGGCCAGGGGGACTGGAAATGTTGGATTTAATCAGCAGTGAATCATTTTGGTCCTCATGCAATTCAATTATTCGTTTGACAAACCCTCTGTTGAGAGTTTTGAGAATAGTGGGTAGTGGGAAGCGACCTGCGATGGGATACGTTTATGCAGCAATGTATAATGCTAAGCTAGCAATTAAGACAGAACTTGTTGACAGAGAGCGTTACATGGTCTACTGGAACATTATAGATCAGAGATGGGGACAACAGTGGCATCATCCTCTTCATGCTGCTGGATTCTACTTGAACCCCAAGTTCTTTTATAGCATTGAAGGAGGTGAAATGCATGGTGAAATCGTATCAGGCATGTTCGATTGCATAGAAAGACTGGTTTCTGATACAAAAATTCAAGATAAAATAATAAAAGAAATAAACTCATACAAGAATGCTGTTGGAGATTTGGGAAGAAAGATGGCTATTAGAGCGAGAGAGACGCTGCTTCCAGGTTAGTATCTAATCTATTGCTATTCCTCAGCTTCCATTATGCACCATTCCACAATTTGCACTTCACCAGCTTGTTTATGACTTGCATTTCTGAAAAACGCTTGGAACCAGATACACGGCTGATTACACGTTCTAGGATTATTCGTATAACTGGCATGCTAAGGACTTGGAAAGCACATATGTTTAGCACAATGATTTTTAGGAGATGTTTTCTATCATACTGACCATTAAATTTCATTCTGCACGGCTTTCACGTCCCAGTCGGATAAACTGGAGCACATCTGTTGCGTAGTTATCTTCCATGCATATCAAGAGCGACACCTTTTCTTCATGTTTATCTTCTTTCTGGCTATTTGTTGAATGATCTTTTCATCTGTTTATGTTTCTTGTAGCTGAGTGGTGGTCAACATATGCATCAAGCTGCCCATGTTTATCTCGCTTGGCCATTCGAATTCTTAGTCAAACCTGCTCCTCAGTGGGGTTAAAGCAAAATCAAATCCTTTTTGATAAGTTACATGATACCAGGAATCACATCGAACACCAACGTCTTAGTGACCTTGTATTTGTGCGCTTCAACTTGCAACTCAAACAAATGTAAGTCAGTTGAAACATTTATTACACAATGAGTCTCCCTGTTTGAAATTTAGGGGCATTGCTGAAGTTTTTTTTTCCCAATGAATTTATTGGCAGGGCTGCTAAAGCCAATGAACAGTATCAAGTTGACCCCCTTTCCTTCGATGGGCTCGGTATTGTTGACGACTGGGTTTGGAGAAGGGATTTATGTGCAGAGGATTATGGGAATCTGGAATGGACAGTTCTTGACAACCCTCCCTCTGGTTCCACTAGGCTTTTACCCCTGCACAATGACTGTGATGACTTGGTAGCAGGTGACTAATTCATTATGGTTTTATTACCACCATGAGACTACAATCCATACTGAAATTCTCTCAAATGTACAGGGTTTGATGACTTGGAGGTTTTTAAAAGGCAGAGGGAGAGTGAAGACGACAATATTTCATAGCACGAAGCTACTAATGCCTTCAAGTAAGTCGCACCGATTCTGTTAATGGATGATCTTACTTGTGTCTAATTATCATGCATGGCGGAATGATGCGATGGTATTATGTAGTTGAGCTCCTCAAGAGCAGATTGAATATTGTATGTCTCAGTAGTAGAGTAGGTCACTAGTCCACTGTATCTTAGAATTGAGCAAGTCAAGTAGCTTTGCAGATTACAACGCGTTTAGGCCGACTTATGATTTAGATTGATCAAATTAAAGCTGTATATGCAAACCATGGAAGGAGACACCCTTCAAATAAATTTAATGAAATCTTGGTTGAGCTTTCTGTGCGGAAAATTCTGTGCACATCCCTTCTTGATTGCTTATAATTCATAATTGCAACTTCCATTATCACTCCTAGCAGTTGGGTCGAAGTTCTCTGCATTAGGGTCTGTGCAGCCTTCAGGGACAGGAAAATTCACCTGCTGAGCGGCTTTGCCTGGAACAAACAGAACCAGCAGCTAAGGACAAGCTGCTTATGTTTTGTACAATTCTAACAATCTATAGAGGGTCAAGAGAGAGCTAACCGTAGAATGCTCCACTTTTTATAGAGTCTTCATTGGCATCACCAAGAGCAGCCTCGCTCAAGTACTTGTCAGCCAATTGGACTCTCTTCACATTCTCTTGCTCCTGAACGAGCATGTTCCCATACTCGAGAAGCTTCTCTAAGGTCATCTTTGGCTGCTCGAACGTCGGTGGTCCTTCCTTTGAGTTGACGAGCCTCTTAGAAATATTTTCAACTCCGACTGAAGCAGCCCACTTCCTCACTTCATCGTCATATACTCTTGCCCTCAGGGCACCAAAGAAATCTGTATGATCATGGTTTAGTTTATCGGGTTAGAATATAGAAGGGAAATGAATCATAGTACTTATATTTCATTCATAGTTTACACTCGGAACTTACCTATGGATTGGCCAGGGAAGGTATCAACAAGCTTGACAATGTCTTCTTTAGGAACATTGTCACTCCTAAAGATTCCTGTGCAGACACCAATTCGATCCTCCCGAGTAGGTGCCCAGTAGAATTTTTCCATACGACCATCACGGATGAGAGGAGCATACAGTGTTGAGAAGTCGTTACCCGTGACAATGATGGGAACACGAGGGTTGTCCTCTTTGTTGTACATACCAGGGAGCTGAACATTGGTTGGATTATCAGCTATGTTCATGAGGGTAGCGTTAACCATCTGGTTGTTCACAGTGTATTGAGTAGTGCCACCAAGACGACCAGCTCCTGCATCGAGATCGTTGATGAAGAGAACACACATTTTCCCTTTCTTGATAATGTCTGCTGCTTCACGATATCTCTGTCGAATCAGTTTTGCAGGTTCCCCTGCATTTCCACTCTCCAATTCCCCTGCACTCATCATAATGGGGCTGAAACAATGAAACAAAACATTAACAGGAAGCAGTTTGAGATCATCTGAAATGGCTAAAGCCAAGAGGATGGAGAGGAATGAAACTCACTTGATTCCCATCTTGGCCAAAACAAGTTCACATTGGAAGGATTTTCCTTGACCTTTGCCTCCCCAAACACCCAAAATCAGAGGAACCTAAGGCAGAACGATCCGATCAAGTAATTGGTTAGCCAAACCCAGGAATGAAACTAATGAACAGTAAACCAGTTTTGTGGTGAACCTTGATATTGGGAAGTTTCATGAAGTTCTTAGAGATATGAACAACTAGTTTGTCCATAAAGGAAGGAGCAATGTAAAAGCCATCCACATTGTTGTCTAAATTGTACCTGTAATATCATCGTCAAAACTATCAGATCCTTCATTACGAATCATAGATGAACACACACAGACACACAGACACAAGAGAATATGTAGGATTTTTGTTGAACTTACTGACGAAGTCCAGCACTCAAATATTCATAAGAACTAAGAACAGGGTCATGAGTTCCTGCTCCAGTAGGAGCTTGGAAGAGTGAGTCAACCAGTCCCTTTCCTCTGGTGATATCTTGCTGATCATCAGAGATATCATAAGCAAGCCCCTTCCATCTATCCTTGTCAGTTTGCTTCTTTTCATCAATTTCTTCAGCAACAGCTACTACCTTCAAGCTGCTTCCCCAAGAGACCTTTGAATTGGGGTATCTAGAGTTCACTTTCTTCAAGCTGCTGCCTAGGAATGCAGAGCTCTGAACTGAAGCTCCGGAGATGGCGCCATTTAAACTCACCTGCAATAAACAAATCCCACGCTTTCACTTTCACTTTCACTACCCAATTAACCATTCTTCACCCCCTCTAATTTCACCTCTTGTGATCATTACAAACTCTTATTCGAGCTACAAATTTTCAATTCTAAACATAAATGGCTGAAAAGATGTCAGTTACCGGAATTCTGTTGACAGCTCCGGCGGTGGAGAGCGCGGTGGCCATCGGATTCAAGAGAAAGGAATGAAAGAAAGAAACCGAGTTGAAGGAGAGAAGTTTGGAGTGTTTAAGAGTTTCAAATTGAAGCAAATGGAAGAGGAAGACGATATTTTTGCAGTAAAAATGATAGAACTTTGGGGAGTTCAAAGTTCGGTGTGGGCAATGGTAGTGGAAGTGGATAGGCTTTTCAAGTTGTTAACGACCATACAATCTTGGTCGCTGGGACAACACGTGTCATCTGGGAGATGGACTGGAACTGTGTCGTTTTGAGGATACGTTATGTGTTTTTTGGTTATCCACTAAAATCAAAGTAATCACCTCAAAATTTAGATTTCTACCAATTGCTTTGGTTATTAAAAATACATGGCAAGCAACCGTTAGTCTCTCGGCAAACGTTTGAATTATTATGTTAATGATAAGTAAGCGTGAGCTATATAGTAACAGTTCAAACACATCATTAGTAGATATTATCTGCTTTGCTCGTTACGTATTGTCGTCAATCTTACGAGTTTAATACAAGTTTGCTATGGGAATGAAAGAGACAAAACCCATGAATTTAAACCCTCAAACATTGGGTAAGAGAATCAAGAAATGATAATTTATGAGTGGAAGATTGAAAAAAACTGTAAAATGGGTTGTTTGTGGAGTGGGAAACAAATCCAAAATTATGATCATATACCATTAATACGATGGAGGAAGTTGAGCCCAAAACACATCTTGAGAAATTTGGGTATTTGAAATCAAATTATGAACTGCCAAAGAAGCTCCTCCTGATGATTCCCCCATTGAATTTTTTCCATTACTATGATCTTCCATTTCCATTTCCTCAAGCTGTAATCTTTCATATATAGCGTTTGTAAACGAAGCTGCAATTACTATCACAGGGCCGGCGGCGATGAGGGGACCGGAAACCAGGCCGCCGACGACCCGTCCCTGGCCACCGGCTAGACAGACGGTCAAGCTAGTAGCCCACTGGGGGGACGGTGCGGGAAGGAAAGCGCCAGAGAGTGACAAGATCTCGAAGCGTTCATGGAGAGTGATGACGCCGCCAGGGGCAGCGGGTTGGCGGAGAGTGACGTTGGCGACGAGGCCGGAGCTGCTGAGAATGGAGAGTCCGCAGTGGCGGCGGTGGGCGAAGGTGGAAATGGAATGGACTATGTCGGTGGCGGGGGTGATTTGGAATACGTGGGTTTGGAAGGCGTTGGGAGCGTGGTTGGTTATGAGAATGGGTGGCCTTGGCTTGTTTTTTGAGCCCGGTGGGCGACCTCGACGGCGCCTGTGGATTTTAGCTCCATGCTGATCTTCAATTCCCATTCCACTCCACCATCTACTCGCCATATCCTTGGACTTCGAAAAAGAAGTCTGTTTTAGAGCAAAAGGGAGAAGGGGAGGAGCCTCTGTTCTTGCTGCTTGGAAGCTTCAAAGCTCAAGCAAGTGACAGAGCTTCTGGAGAAACATTAAAGATTTTGCAGATAATAATAATAATATTAAGGTTTATGGGCAGGGAGCTAGTGTCTTCGATTCCATTGTCGCCTAGCCTGTTCTCTATTTTACAAATTTTTTTTTTTTTGAAATCTAGTCGGGTCTAGGGCTGGGGATGGAGATGGAGAATATCATCCCTCGTAATCTCTGTTTAGCTAATGGAAAATAATGTCTACTCACTCCTTTCCCTATTTTTAGTTTAAAAGAGAATTTCTTACCCGGTTCAAGTTGGATACACGACTGGAAATCTCTATAATATCAATAGCTTTAACAGTAGCATAATCGAAGGACTCAAGCGTGTGGGTTGTGAGTGTCCTACAAAAATGAAAGATTATTATATTATTTGTTCTTTTTAAGGTAGAGAGTGAAGATTCGAACATGGACCTTGATCAAGGGCAACAAGCTCATCCCCATGGGGATTAGCCATGCTCGACGAAGCATTGTCCCCATCTAATGATTTAGAGCTTTGGTTCAAGCCAAATGAAATTCTAGTCATAGCGGTTGTGTTTTTAATCTTTTGTCACAAAGTCTACATACGTGCAAGATGAATATTCAAAAGAGCCAATCAATATCGCTCGATCCCTCACCAAGGATACTCTGCAATATTAGCCATGATTTTGAACATAAATCAATAACATTGTGAAAAGAGACCTTCAAAACAATCTTTAGTGAAAGTATCTAAATATTTTGATTGGTTTATTAGTTGGCGCTGAGCATCATGCTTGCACCACGTGGCAAAATATTAGTGGAGAAGGGAACATAAGAAAGATCCGAGCACGGCCACATTATCCAATTCAAAAAGGAAAGCAAAGAAGAAAAGAAAAGAAAAGAAATCTGGGAAGAACTGCAGCTTTGGAAATGGCTCTGCTCAACGCCTCATTATGTTCTTCCACTTGCAGAATTCCTTCCAGACCTCACCTTCCTCTTCCTCCCTCCGTTTCCGCCTTTTCCAATCCTCAGGTAAACTTCACCTCTCAACTTCTTCTCTGCTTCTCTCATTTTGTACTGAAATGCTATGATTTCCACCAAAAAAATGAAGACGATGAAGCACCAAGTGGAAGCTACTCGGAATTTTGTTCTTTCCGTTGGAGAATCCGCCTCTAAAGCCAGCTTCCTCGCTTTGATTTCCGCCTCCTTGTTCCTCGCTGATCCTGCGCTAGCTTTTAAGGTTAAATTGTTAAGAGTATATATTTTTCTTTTTCTGATTGTTTCGAGTGAATGTCTGTTGTTATATCTCTGTATTTGAAGCCGCTTCAATCTGATCATTCACTGATTTTGGGTGAACGGATTCGATTTCGTAATTAGGGCGGAGGTCCCTACGGTGCTGGGGTCACTAGAGGTCAGGATCTCACTGGGAAAGATTTCAGTGGGAAGACCTTGATCAAGCAAGATTTCAAAACGGTTTCTCCCTTTTCAAACAAATTCAATTTTTCCTCATGTTGTGTTTCTGAAATAGCTATACGTTTCTTTTCTCACCAGTCTATATTACGGCAAGCTAATTTTAAAGGTGCAAAGTTATTAGGTGCTAGCTTCTTCGATGCTGATTTAACAGGTTCGTTATTTCAGTGTTCATAAGTAATAGAACAAATTCCCATTAAAGCTGAGTTCAATTGTTTCTTTCTTTGCCTAATTGTTAGGAGCGGATCTTTCTGATGCTGATCTCCGAGGAGCGGACTTTTCTTTGGCCAATGTTACCAAGGTGATGTATGTTTATTCCTGTTAACAGTATCATCTTTAGTTGATTTCAATCTCATTCTATGCACAAAGTAGGTTATGTGATGCAGTGAAATCTGCAGTTTCTATCTGAGATTTTCCATTCAAGTTTTGGTTCATGTTGTGCTTTGATCTTAGAAGCCAATGAAATTATAGTCTTTATCCTCGACGGTTTCTTCTACTTTCGGCAGGCAAATTTAAGCAATGCCAACTTAGAGGGAGCGCTTGCTACAGGAAACACTTCTTTTCGTGGATCAATAATAAATGGAGCTGGTATGTATGTAAAGCTAACATTTATGTAGCTTTTAGTATTGCAAGGGCGATCCTCTCTCCAAAATTGTCTTAGTTAATAAAAGACATTAATATAGGTTGTTACTCCAACCCCTCTATTTTTATCAAATTTGAAATTCTAAACCTATAGCTCTAGTGTAACAACCCAAGTCTATTGGAAATCGATATTGTCCGCTTTGGTCGGTTACGTATTGTCATTTGTTTCACGATTCTAAAATGTGTCTAGGAGAGGTTTCCACACCCTTATAAAGAATGCTTCATTTCCCTTTCCAACCAATGTAGGATCTCACAATCCCAGACGTGCCTTTGCGAGATCCCAGATACGATTTTAAAACGCGTCTACTAAGAAGACACCAGGCTATAAAGGGGGTGGATTGTGAGATCCTACATTGGTTGGAGAGGGGAAAGAAGCATTCATTATAAGGGGTTTGGAAACCTCTCCTTAGTAGACGCGTTTTCAAACCGTGAGACTAACGATAATATGTAACGGGCCAAAGTGAACAACATTTGCTAGCGATGAGCTTGAACCGTTACATTTAGTTACTCGTGTTAGGGGTGCAAACAAACTCTCACATTCGTTAGAAAAATGTTAGAAAAAGGAGTAATCTTAGGTAGATAAGGAAGGACAAATATCTCTATGAGGAAATACTGATGGTTAATTCATCTCATGATGTCAGACTTCACAGACGTGCCTTTGCGAGAGGATCAGCGGGAGTACCTTTGCAAAGTTGCAGATGGGTAAACAATACTTTCCTCTGTTCTTTTGGGTCGACTGAAAATGGTTCAATAAAGATTAAAAGAAAACATTTTAGATCCTTGAACTTTGATGAAAGTAACAATTTAGTCACTTTAAACTTCAAATGTTACATGAAAGTAACATTTTGGATCCTTAAACTTCCACGAAAGTGGTTTTTACTGGTAAATAAACTAATGAACTCAGTCCTTTCTGTTGACAGGGTGAATCCAACGACTGGAAATGCAACCCGGGAGACCTTGCTCTGCAATTGAGAGTCGAATAATATGGCGAGCTACTAAGGTACAAAGAATCATAAAGATTTACTTTAAAATGTAAGGAATTTAATAACTATGCGAGTATCTAATCCAATGAGTAAAGTTTTGTCATTCTTCTGTTAATATCTCCTCATACCCTGTTTTCGCGGCTTGTCCATATCATAAAGCTTATGAAAAGTAACACATTCGAAGAATCAGAACACATTGGATGTCATTACTATTGAATTCAACATCCAGTTGCTTTAGAACCATATCTAGAAACCAGTAGGATTTTCATCATTCCCCAGTTCATAGTTTTTACCTAACCCACTAAACGCACATAGTCAAACGATTGGCTATCACATTCCTCTTTTTTAGTGTTCATTTCAATAATTCAGCTGATTTTGCCTTGCCCACTCAGCTGATGTATATAAGAACATGGATTTAGCGGTCTCAGTTAAATATACTGATATTTTCCTGTATGTATTCATATTAGAACTGTTACATTTACAATGGGGCAATCCGCCATCGTTATTATGTGGCCTAAAACTCAATTCAAATTAGATAAACATGCTCCCGAAAATGAGAATCTACGTGGTAATTGTTTCACCCTTACTGCATTTTCTAATCCTAATCCACATATTGTCGTCGCTTCCCCGATCCATAATCTCGCAACACTGTCGTTGTGGTGCCTGTTCATCCAAACAAATAGAAAACTCAATGACATGCTGAAATGACAATGTTATAACAATTGTGTTAGAGGAAGAGAGATGACCTTCATCCATAGCTGAGTGTCCATCTTCATTGAGGAGACAGTAACTTCCTTCACTGCCATGACCCGACCGTAATCCTGCCTATCACATACTTTCTCGTCCTTGGCCACGAACCTTTCGTAACTGGTTTTCGTACCCCTCGTGTCCACCTCTTGAACTCCCTTCAAAAAATAAACCACCGGTCGCCAGCATGGGTCAGCACTCACAGGTCGTGCATTGAAGCTGAAGGGTCCATTGCTCCAGCTCCTCCATGTCTTAAACGTCTGAAATGGAATCTCCAAATCCGTGGCTGTCACCAAGAAAGGATATATCTGAACAGTATAGCCCCAAGCAATGGAGACAGACCATTTCCTCCTCCGATCATAACACACACTTTGCTGAATAATTCGACTCGAGTCGACCCGGTATGCTTCCATTAGTAATTTCAATGAATCAATCCTTGTTTTGTTAGGAAACAATGGCTCCACGCTGTCTAGGTGATGCAGAGATACAAGTGGCGCCACTGGATGCGCTGCCAAAATCCCATAAGCTTGACCTCTTATATCAAACTGTACAAATTTGACCAGAATTTCAAAGCCATCAGCAAAACAAGTCAATGGCAATGTATATAAAAATAGGAACTTCAGGGTTTAAGATTTGATCAGCAAAATAGGAACTTCCATTGACCTTATCCACAGTCGACATTTTTAACAATATTTATTTATTAACCAAACAATATTTATTTATTAACCAACATTCCCAATAAGTATTCCACCCTGGAAATGGAATATTCTTTTTTTTCTTTTTTAATATTCCAAACCCTAAACCCTAATTTCAAAATCTGTTCATCCACCGGCTTTTGTATGTACATTCATTAATTCTTGGCGTTTGAATATGAATGACAGTTTAGGAGACGCAGACAAGGTGACCGACTTGACCGGTCTCTTTTTTCTTTTTCCACATAGGCGTGCCTAACAATCCCTCAATCATGACACGTGTCAAAAAGACGATAGATCCCAATATTTTACATTATTTCGACCAATTGTAATCCGCCACGTCATTATTATAGTTATCGGGAAAAGAATTAACCTGGTGGAAGCCTCGTTCTCTGGTG